CGGTGCCTGAGGGGCCAGGGCCCGGGGCTCCTCCGCCTGGCTCAGAGAGGCCCCTCGTCCCCCACCCTAGCTGCCTCTGCTCAGTCATTCCCCAGCCGGAGTCAGAGGCACTGGGAGCAGAGAGAAGCAGCGGGTGGCGCTCCTCAGCCCCCGCCCACTGCTGCGGGCTCAGGCCTCGCTGCAGCACTCGTAGATGTTGTCCTCCATCAGGGCCACCACCTGCTCGAACTTGTGCTGCAGTTGCGTCCTCCGGGCCGTGGGGTTCGCCTCCAGGGCGGTCATGATCTGAGGGGGAAGCGAGGGGCAGCTGGGCCACAGCCCAGGTCCTGGGCCCCACGGGTCCCACTGCAGATCATGGGGGAACACACAGCCTGCATTTCTACTGCTGGTGACACCCCTAAAGCACAAACGTCCTGGGGATGTGAGTGCCTGAGCAGGTGGAGGTGGGCAGGGCTGAAATGGGGGTGTCGTGCCCCGACGGTGGGGGCCTCACCCTGGGGGTTACTCACCTGTGGGCGATACCTCTTGGCATATTTATAAATCTCTGCCATGGCCACGTTGGTGTTGAACTCATTCTGGTATTTCTATGAGGAAAGACGAGGCAAGAGTTGGGAGGGTGGTTAACCCCACGGTCAAAACCAGGCCATGACCTGCTGCTTATGTACATCTGCTCATGGATGGCCAAGTCCTGGGACCACCACCCCCACCCAGTGCCCAGCAAGGCCCCCACGGAGCCGGCCGCACCCGCGACTCCTCCGCCAGGTGCGCGTTCATCTCCTGCTCGCTGAGCGGGGTCATGTCGTGGATCTGTTTGTAGTAGCGCTGCACGATTTTCCGGTACTCGGGAATCTCCTTGGCGTAGAGGAGCTTGTTGGTTGGCGAATCCTGGGCAGAGAGGAGAGAGGCAATAAGAACTGGGTAGAGCCAACAGATGGGTCTTTTCCTGGATGCAACCTCATCTCTACCGCCACACAAACGGCCCCTTCACTGCACGGCCCTGCCCTGCGGGCTTGGGACCAGGAGCTCCCCACCCCCTCTTCTCTGCCCTTGTACATGGAACCCCTGCCCTATTTTCTATGCGGCCGTCAGGGTGGAACTTGAGGGGGATCTACTTTTAGGGGCAAAGTGCCTGGGCTCATGCCAGCTCTTAGACACGCAGGCTATTTTGTTTGCATCTTTGCTTAGGGTTATGGGTCTTGGTGGCTAAGATTTCTGGAAGCCTGATTGCTGTCTCAGTGGAATATTTCCCACCACATGTTTCCTACGCCTGAAAGTGCAACGTGCCAAGTATGCTCCCAGTTCTTTGTCTGCCACGGGCTTCCTGCCTTCTGAGATAGTATGTGAGAGGTAATGGCATTTTCTGTCTCTCACGGCCTGTCCCTGAAAGTCAGGGGTAAACGCCAGGCCAGGTCTAACTCTACCATCATCGATGCTCCCAGCATCCGGCGCCCTTTCGTGCCTCCGTGCCCCACCCCAGCCCTTCCCTCTGCCTGGAACGCTGCTCTGTCCTCCCCGCCCTCTAAAGCCAGCTGGCTCCTCTCCCTGCAGACAGATGCCTCAGATCTCCCTCCTGCGTGTACTCAGAGGTCTTGGTCACCTGTTCCCCCTCTGCCCACCCCTCCACTCAGTGCCCACTGGATGTCTCTTGACCATCAGGGCCGCTGCCTGGAGCCCAGCTGGTTCTCTGATGCTGTGCCGGACCAAGCAGGCTTTCCATGTTCACGCTGGCTTCTCCCAGCCTGGCTCTGTGGCCTCAGTGTTGGGAGCTGGTGGTGCTGGGCACACCTGAGGCAGGTGCGGCTGGCCTGCAGCCATGTAGTTTCAGACTGTAGGTGCCAGTTTCTGGGAGTCTTCCCCCCACCTGATGACCCCATTCGTCCCGCATCCCCCAGACCTGAGCTCCTTTGGCTCCCCTCCCGTAAAGATCTCCGTCCTCCCCCGTGGCGGAGGGTGACCCGCCCAGTGCCGCCCACCTTGCCCAGCTGCAGGTCGGAGATGGAGCAGGCGTCAATGAAGGCCTGCGCGATGACCGAGAGGCAGGCGTCAATATGGTCTGTCTTGTCGATGTCGAAGACGAACTGCGGGTTCTTCAGGATGTTCACCCAGAAACGGAGAGGAAGGCTGTAGCCGGGTGGGGGGAACAGAGGCAGCGTGAGTCCATGCCAAGGGCGGCAGCAGAGAAAGGGCCACGGAGGAGGCTCGCGACAGGGAGGCGGGCAGGCTCAGAGGACAGGCTGGCTTCGCCCCTCAAGCCAGTGGAGATGAGTCAGTTTGCTCCTCCACAAATGGGTTGGTGACCATCCCTGGCCACTGGGGCGGCAGAAGGGCTGGGTGCCAGGTTCCTGCATGGAGCAGGGCTGGGCTGGGGCGTGGGAGCCCGAGTTCACCCTCACTGCCTGCCCCCACCCCCTGCAGAGCCACCCACTCTCACGCAAGAGCCCCAAGCTAGGTCCTGGTTCTCATTAGGAGCCCCCCGCCTCCCCCTGCCCTGCCCGGCAGCCCACGGCTCCTCCTCCAGCCCTCGCTCAGCTGCAGGAAGTCCACCACCAGCCGGGTCACCAGGAAGGGCTGAGGGAAGGCACGGCCTGGATCCTCGGCCTCAGGAGGCCAAAGCCTTAGTAACCCCCACCCCAGTTACTAGGTGGCCTGGGACTTAAGGACCCCACCCCGCAAGGGCTCTGAGAAGCCTCTGGAGCTCCACAGAAACTTCTGGGTCTATGGCATTTTTTCCCCTGAGGGTCAGGCTGAGGTTTTCAACAACTTCTGGTTGGGGTTTGTGATCCCCCCAAAAGCTAAGATGTGCCTCAAAGGAGGGATGCGATTGGGGGCAGGCATATCTCCACAAACCTCAGTATGTTCATCTGTAAAATGGAGCTGACGGTGCCCACCCAAGACGGGTGACGGGAGAGTAGTGATAAGGGCAAAACTTACATAATGCTCACTTCTAGTTAATTCTTAGACTTCATGTGGGTTACATTTATTGCCCTAGTTTTACAGCTGGGGGAAACGAAAGCACAGAGAGGTTTTAAGTCACTTACCCAAGACCACACAGCTTAGAATGGCATAGAGGGATTGAACCCAGGCAGGTGGGCTGAGATCAGGCTCTGAGCCCCTGCACCACTGCTGCCCCCAATGATACAGTGAAGCAGCACAGCCCCCCACAATGGCCCCCACCTGTTGGTCTTCCAGATGTGTAGGGTGTCGGGGTCTGAGATCCCCCTCTTCTCGGCTTGCTCCTCCAGAAAGTCAAAGAAATACTTGACGGCCAGTGGAGGTTTGTCTTCACGGATGCTCAGAATGGCCTTGAACAAGTCATCTAGAAACTTCTGCAGCGTGCCCTGCACAGGAACCAGATGGCCACCATCCGCTCAGGACCATGTGTAGGAGGTAAGCAGGTACCCCTGGCAGCTGTGGGGAGCCCAGGTGCTGGGACTGAGGAGTGCTGGGTAAATGGGGATGCTGTGTGGCATCAGGCTGGTCATGTAGCCTCTCTGGACTTCAGTTTTCTTGTCTGTGAAATGGGCCAGTGAAACCTACCCCACAGGGGTGTTAAGGACTGGGACAGAGAGTAGGGAATTGGTGGGCCAGGGTGTGGGTGTCTGGTGTGACTCTGCTGTCTGAGCTGTGTGGCCTTGGGGCATTACTGGCCCTCTGCTGCCCTCTCTGTCACACCGGCTAAGTGATGTCATCAGTAGGCACCCTTCATGTTGGGAGCAAACCCCTCCTCAGGTGAGACCCAGGGCCCTCAGCCTCTAATCCCAGAGCTCATCGGGCCCCACAGGGGAAGAACTCCCCTCACCCCAAGGCCCCTAAGGTATGAGCTCACAGATGACCCCCTGGAGTGAATGGCAGCCTCCTTAAGACGCAGAGATGAGGTGGGACCCACCTTGGTGGACAGCAGGCGGGTCAGGTAGATCTCCGGGAGCACCTTCTTGCGGTGGCTCTGCCGGTGGGACTTCTTGGGCTCTGCCAGCTCATCCGTGGGCAGCACCTGGGAAGCCGGGGCAGGGGGCAGTGCTGGCACCACCCACAGCCGCCCCGTGGGAGGTCCTGTCCTGCACCCATGGGCACCTGGCTCTAGGTGTGCTGTGTGTGCACAAGAGGCTCCCTGCTTCCCTCGGACCCCTTCCCACCCCCCACCCCAGCCTTTCCCAGCATTGGGGAGCACGGCCCCCAGAGGCCCAGGGTGGCAGGAAGCCAAGCCCACACCAGTGTGGGGCGGACATCCCCAGGGCCGGAGGGAGGCAGAGCACTCACCAAATGGAAATACTTCTCTGTGTCCAAGTCTTTCACTGCGGGAGGAAAAAGACACACAATAAATAAACAAGAAAAACACAAATGGAGATGAAAAGATGAAGAAAGGAACTGAGCAAAATGCAAAGCGCCAAAGAGACATGCGGAGAGAAGGCAGAAAGAGACCCAGAGGACGAGGCAGAGAGAACGCGAGAGGCACTGGGACAGACTGACAGACAAACCTATGGTGCCAGGAGGGAGAGGCAGTCACAGAGGGACACGGGTGAGGCCCTCAGAGTGGGCAGGGGCCCCTCGCCCGTGCACCCCCAGCCCAGACCTCCCAAACTGCTGGGAGAGACCGAGACCCTGATCCTGACCTCAGGAGGGGACCCCAGGAACCCAGGCCCGGGGCATCCGAGGGTGTGGATGGGGGATGTGAGGCAGGGACACGGCCCAAAGCCCAGATGGCCTGGCAGCCGCCCAGAGCTCTGGGAGCCACACCCCACCCTCCCGGGGCCTCTCTCCACTGCCCGCAGAAAGCAGCCCTGAGGAGGCCTGGCCACAGGCCCTGCCCAAGCAGCTCTGCGGCGAGGAGGACTGGCTCGGCCCCTGCCCCCACCACGGAGGCCACAGCCCGGCCCAGCCTAGACACCCTCCCCACGTCCACCAGCGCTACCTCGGCCCAGCGTGTTGTCCTTCTTGTCTGTGAGGCTCATGGCCAGGGAGGCACCTTCAGGGATCTGAGGGGGGAAGAGGCGGAGGTCAGGGGTCGGAGGTCGGGGTGGGGGGTGGGGGCGGCAGGGCTGGGCCCACCTTGTAGTGGGCCAGCGTGTTGAGCTTCTTACGGCCATCCTCCACCACCGAAGTGTCGTCCAGGTCCCGCAGGATGTAGCTCTGCGTGCTGGAGGCGAACCACTCTGGGGGGGAGCAGGGCATCAGGGGGGGCCTCCCAGGGAGAGAACCGGGGCACCCGCGCCTCTCTCTGAGCCTCTCCTCCCCCAGCTGCAAGATGGGGGTGGCAGAGGGTGGCCGGGCGGTGGGCGCAGAGCAGGAGCTCTGGAAAGTTCTCACCCTCAGGGCTGTCGTGGGGACATCAGAGCTGCTGGGGCAGCCACTCCCCACCGCCTGGCGTCACCTGCCATGTCCTCACACCGCAGGCCCCGCTTCCCCCCAGAACGGGAGCTCCTGGCTGACGGGCACCTGGGCTGATCGCCCCCGTGTCCCCAGCGCCACAGTGAGGGCACAAGTGGCGAGTGGCAGCAGCCCCGGCCCACCGCAGCAGCGCGCAGCCCCGGCCCACCCAGGTCGACGTCCTCGGCGCGCGGCCACTGGGAGTAGGGCACGTTCTTGCAGAAGGCTTCCAGAATCTTCTCCTTCACCTGCGTCAGCGTGTCCGTGTCCATGGCCCGCACACTCAGCGAGTCCATGCCGCAGCCCTGGAAGGACACGTTGAGGTTCTGCACGAGAGAGAGGGGAGGGTCAGGGGGCGCCCCTCGCCCTGCCCCGGGCCGGTCCGGGGGCGGGGCCGGGGGCGGGGGGCGCTCACGCGGGGCTTGGCCTCGATGTTCTCGCGCAGCAGCCACTCCTCGCTGAGCGTGTAGCGGGCCTTGCCGGTGATGGCGTCAATGGAGCCCTTGTTGACCTGCTGCTTGATGGCGCACAGCAGCAGGAAGAACGGCTCCCCGACCGTCTCCTAGGAAGGGCGAGGGGCTGTCAGAGGCCGAGCCCCGCTGCCTCCAGCCCGCCCACCCTCCAGATTCCAGTCCCCAAGCCTTTGGCCCCCACCCAGAACGCCCTCACCACCCTCCTCTACCGTGGCTGCCTGTCTAACATCCTCCCTGTGGGATCCTTGTGCCGCCCCCTCACTCCCACCCTCGACCCCAGGGGTCTCCACACACTATAAGGTTGAACACCGCCAGCTGTGGGCGGCCTCATTCCTTTCATCATCCCAACCACCCTTCCAGGTACAGGGTGTCATCCTCATTGCTAAGGCTCAGAGAGGGCAAGCAACTTGCTCAGGGTCACCCAGCAGGGAAGTGGCAGAGCTGGACTCGAACCCCAAATCAGCTGCCTCCCAAGCCTGTGACTCTGCTAAGACCCCAGAATGAGCTTAGATGGAACTGGAACACAGACGTGGCCTTAGAGAACCCAAATCACAGCCTGGTGAGTGTGGAGAGCCTCGAACATCCCTGCCCCCACCAGGCTTCCTTTCATGAAGTGCACACAGTCAGAAAGGGCCCGGGCTGCCAGTCACAGCCGTGAGGTAATTTTCACGGCTTTTTTTTACAGCAAGTGACCCATGTGTTCCATTTATGGAGGATATTAGGTAAAAACGGTGAGCTGATTGTCTTCTTTAAATCAATTACATAATAGTATTAGGCAAATTTAGCAAAGACTGTGAAGGCAGCAGTTCTCCAGGTCTGGGCGTGGGAGTCCCTGATGCCCTACTTTGTGGAGTTCCAGGAAACAGAGACTCAGAGGGGAGGCTTACTGAAGCCATGTAAGGGCCAAGGGAGCCAGGTCCCGAGTCCACCGCAGCTCGTGTGGTCCCTGCGGCAGCCTGGTTCCCCGCGGCGGTCCACACGAGGCAGCCGGCAGAGACTGGAGCACCCCCATGCCCCTCCCCAGGCCCAGTCTAACGGGGCTCTTCCAGGCTACCTGGCCCTCACGAGCTCCAGGCGCAGAGGTCCCATTTGACAGAAGAAAACCAAGACCCAGAGAGGGCAATGCCATGTGCAGGGTGGTAAAGGTGGAACTAAAACCCAGGACATCTGAGGCCCTGGTTCTAGCCAGGCCTGTGCCTTTTCCCCACAATGTCCAGACAACTCCCTGGTCCCTACCACACAGGGCAGCTGGACAGTGGGACAAGACCAGGGGCTGAGCAACTCCTGTCCTGCAGGAAAGCCCTAATGGGGGTGCTTCTGGCAGAATGTGTAAGGCCCTGGCCCCACTGGCCTTCTCTCTCCTCAGAAAGACTTGCTGGATTCCTTCTGTTTCTTTCATGAACATTCCCTCCTCTCTGCCTTTCCCATGCTGTCACCAAAGCCTGGAACACCCTCCCCACCCAACTCTTTACCTGCCTTGTTCCTACTGAACCCTCAGGTCTCACTTAGGGTCCCCTGCTCTGGAAGCCCCTTTGAGCCCTCCAGCCAGGTCAGAGGCCTCAGTCAGTAGCAGAGCTCTGCTGTGAGGCATTCATCACTTGTATTTTTAATTTGTTTCCGCACCTGTCTCCACTAAGCCTGGGAGAGCCTCTAGGACCAGAACTGGGTCTGAATTAGCTCCTGATCCCAGAGCAGCGGCCCAAAGGCACACCAGGGAGGCTGAGGGCTGAGAAAACGCTCTTCTGAAACAAAGGCCCTGACACGTCCTCTGTTCTGTCCTGGGCTTGCTCTGAGCCCCTGCAGGAAGCCAGTCTTCCTCTGAGCTGCAGTTCCCCCATCCGTATAAGGGATCCTATGGGCCTGCCCCTGCCCGCTCTGAGCCACTCTTTCCACATCTGCACTAAGAACATAATCCCTCCTGGAAGTCAGCAGGAGGATAAAGTGAAGTCAGATTTGGGGGAAAGGCTGGGGAGGTGGTGGTCCCTCTGGCGGTGACACAGCTGCCCCGCGCTCAGGTGCCCGTCCCCCAGCGGCCTCACCCGCAGGCAGCTGTACATGCAGATGGACATCCAGTTGGTGAGCATCTTCTCGACCACGGACTCCGTGCGCCGCAGCATGAGCTTGGGGTTCTTGGCGGCCGAGGCGTCAATGAGGTCCACCAGCAGCTCCTTCATTATGCCTGTGTAGTACTCAAGCTTGCTGTGGAGCGCGATGGTCAGCAGGGAAGCCAGGTTGCACCTGTGGACCGGCCATACCATGAGGCCCTGGGATCTGAGGACCATGCAGCAGGGGCTCAGGTGCCACCTCGTCGCTGGACGCGGATGGGTGAGTGTGGCTGAAACCTCCCTGGAGAAAGGGCTACCTTCTCTAACAGGCATGGCAACCACAAGGCCCCCGAGCCATGTCCTGGGCACCCAGGACCAGGAAGGGGAAGAGTGGGGGTGGGTCTCAGGACCTCCAGGGCCAGATGCTGGGGAGATGCCAGCTGCCCAGAGGACACAGTGATTTGCAAACTGCCCAGCCTTGGAAGTGGCCAGGCAGACCCAGGACTGGCTGTATGGCCCCTGACAGGCCCCACCACCTGACCTGTCTCGCACTGCGAAGTCCTTCTGTTGCTCCAGCGCGTGGACGAAGACGATGAGGAAGTGCTTGTTGTTGAGCAGGGAGGAGAACAGGCTGATGCCCTCTTCCATGTTGGGCCGGCAGCTCTCAGGGATCTGCAGAAGCAGTCAGAGGCGGGTGTCCACAGAGGTCCAGGGTCTCTGCCTGGCCTTGGAGCCAGCACTTACGATGTCCTGAATGGCTCCTTGAATGCTTTCTGGGATGGGGAGTTCATTACCTCTTAGTGGTAGATGCCTCCTAACTTCCTGTGACTGGGAACAGTGGCTTAGTTGACGTGAAAAGTGGGGCTTGGGCAAAAGTGCCTGAAAGTAACCCAGAATCCTTGAGTGGGGGACCCTCTCACCTTCCATTCTCTAAGCAGCAGGTGGAGTGGAAATGTCCAGGGTGACCCAATCCTCTCCCCTCTCTACCTGGCCTGGCACTTAGCACACCCTGAATGACACTTGAATACTTCCTGGGACCGAAGGCTCACTACCTTTCAATGGCAGGTTCCTCCCAACTCCCCATGATTAGAATCAATGGATCAGATGAGCTGGACAGTGGGGCCCAGAGGCAGGCAGGGCTGTCCTGAGGCAGTCCAGGATGTGTGTGTGCAGGGGGTGGGAGGATACTCACCTTCCACTCTCCCAGCAGTGGGTGGGTCTCCTGCACCGGGGAGCTGCCCTGGGAGTTGAGGGTCTGGGAGGGCAGCACGTAGCGCTCTTCATAGAGGGAGGAGCACTGTGGAGGTAGACCCCGAGCGTCTCAGCAGGGCTGCAGGCTCCCCTGACTCCTGCCAGGGCCGCTCGACAAATGGAAAAGCCCACTTTAAAGGAAAGAGAGGCAGAGGGCGCCCCCAGGGCCACAGGACTCTGAGGCGAGGAGGGGAGTCCCAGGGGGCTTCCTGGAGGAAAAGGAGCAGAACCAGCCTGAGCACAATGTGGCAAAGCCGGAACGCATGGGGCTTCAGGGGAAGCAAAAGCAGCTCAGTGTGGAGTGGGGAAACGGAGGCAGAAAAGCCTGCAGGGACCACTCCATGGGCTCGCTGTGACTGCTGTGTGGAGAACGGTGTGGACAGGGCAAGAGGAGGGTGCTGGCCAACTGCACATACTCCCAACAGGCCTGGGAGGGTGAGGACAGGGCAGCGGCCCCTGGAACAGCAAGGGGCGGTGTGGAAGGGAGGGATGGAGTAGAGGGCAGTGGACAAGAGTCGGAGATGTGGGGGCCCACAGAGGCCTGGCTGGGAAGGGGCCCAGAGAAGAGAGAGGATGGCTGTGAGCTGGGGCCTCTGCTCACCCCTCAGTGAGAGGAGAGGCAGGCCCGGCGCCCCAGGAGGAAGGTGGGGCTGGCAGCCGGCTTCTGCACGGACCGTTAAACATCAAAGGAGTAGAGGAGGAAAGCAGGGAGAACCTGGACGGGGTGTGGGGTAGGGCCAGGCTGCCACAGGCAGGTGCGCAGGTTTCGCTCTGCTCCAGGGGCCACGCTGCACATGCCAACTGTCCCCACCGACATGAGAGTGCCCCCTAGGTCATCAGAGCCCAGAGAAGAGAAGTCAAGCTGACCTTGGGGAAGAAGGTGCGGGTCACAAAGTGCTTGTACTCCAGGAAGGGGATGCCCTGGCTGCGGTTCAGCTCCTTCGTCAGGTCCGTCATGTCCGTCTGCAGCTCCGCGAAGCCTGGTGGATGGCAACCGTGAGTGGCCCTCAAACCCATTTCCTGGGGGGGAAAGCTGAGGCCCAGGCCCCACGTGGTCCCCAACCGCTACCTTTACGGATTTCCTCTCGGATCTGAGACTCCATCTCCTCCATCTGCAGCAG